CGGCCAACACAAAAGAGGCCCCGTGTGCCAACAAATTAAGAAGATCCAAAACCTTTGTGCCACAAGAGAAGGTAGAGTTTTAGAGTGAGGTGCTCTCCAATGGTGGTTTTCGAAAAGTAAGAGAGAGAAAGAAAATCAAAAAGTGATCCAAAAAGGTGAAACTTGGACTGATATACAAGTCGCTCCGCTCAAGCGTGGAAACCCCCGCTAGAGCGTCAGACACAGATTCACGCTCGAGCGTCAAAACTCCCGCTTGAGCGTCAGATGCACACTCACAGAAGTTTTGCAGGCGATGGTCCCCGCTCGAGCGGAGGAACAAAATCAGAGGTTCACGCTCAAGCGTCAAAACTCCCGCTCGAGCGTACGAAGACCTGTAGAAAAAAATACTGGGAGATGAAAATTCACGCTCGAGCATCAAAACGCCCACTCGAGCGGCGAAGCAACAACAAAGAGTCCGCTCGAGCGTGAAGGCCAAATTCTGGGCATCAACTCTAGGTTTCAAAACACAACCAACCTGTTCCAAACCTGCCTAACACAACCCAAGACTCAAATACAAAGAGTAAAGGATGGAAACGGGAATAAGACAACAACAAATCCACAGAACCAAGTCCAGAATACAATTAAACAATGAAGGGAAAATCGGGATCGCTATGCTTAGGTTGTTGATGGGTTTGTGATCTCATGATAATTGATTCTGTTAATAGATGTACAAAATACATGCATCTAGAGGTTTTGTCCTTGGTCATCGGTGGAGGATGACGTGGTCGTGTTGTATTGTCGTGTATGCACTATACCATTGTTGATTGAACATCTTATGATGGAGAAGATGAAGGCCAAGAACCAAAGTGCTCCAAATCGCCAAACTTTCATATTTTAATGAAGATCAAGGGAAGCTCCACACTCAATACAAAGGAACTAGGGTAGAAGATCACTAGAACTAGATGTATTTATAGAGAGAAGATGTAGTCTAGAGAGAGAAACTCTCAAGTTATTCATTCAATGAACTTCATTAAATTGATTAATGTATCTCATACATTCATGATACATAATGCATCTTCTATATTAATGAATTCATTAGATAGATTAATGTATCTTACATATTCATAATAGATACATAATGCATCTCTAAGATTCATTCATAATAAATCCATCACATTCAATGTATTAGCATTAGTCTTCTATACATTGTATAAATAGGTATCAATGATTAGTCACCATCTAATTGATGTACATGTATCTTACTAATGAGATGAATCTAGTATAATCATGCAAAATCTTTGAAAAGTTGACATATATTACAATTAAACAATGAAGGTAAAATCGGGATCGCTATAGATGTGGATGTGGATGTGGATGTATTTTATTTTAGAAAATATTAATAATTTGTACAGGGAATGAATTAATAAAATATATATTGATTTTATGAAAATAATTTTATTGGGACAATAATAACCTAGCAACGGGTTAACTACTGCATATATATATTAGTTTAAATCTTTAGCGACGGTTTAAATTGTCGCAAATATGGTATTAATTTAATTCTACTTTTTTACGATGTTTTAGACTGTCGCTAATAATACTTTTCGTGACGATTGAAACTGTCGCAAATATGATATTAATTTAATTTCACTTTTTTTGCGACGTTTTAGACTGTCCCTAATAGTACTTTTCGCGACGTCAAATACCATCGCTAAAAAAGTTTTGGTGACGGCAACTAACATCATCACTAAAAGTGGAGTTTTTTACCCTTGATTAGTCGTCACCATAAGAAAGTGACGGTTTGTAACCGTCGCAAATATTTTTTGTCACGCCCCTTTCCGCCACCCTCCATTTTCCGTCGCTACTCCGTTGCAAAAAGTCTTTTGCGACAATATATGGACCTTTTGCGACATTTGAGACCGTCGCAAAAAGTCGACTTTTAGTAGTGTGTTCCATTATAATTATTTTTTGATTGACAAAAATGTATTTGTTTTACTGAATTGATAATGTTTATTGATGAATGATTGTCCTATTTTCTGGACTGTACTCGTGGCATCCATAGTATATTGTTATTGTTATTGTTACATAGTTCTCTGTCAATTCCAATTCTTGGAACTATTGTTATTACATTGATTGCCATCAAATGATTGTTCGGTCTTTAAGACCTATAGATTGTTCTGCTATTGGATGTACTACGTATGACTATTATGAATCAAAATGATATGAAACATTGATTGGGAAATTGATTTATTGATGAATTGAGTGTTTCAATTATTGTAAGGACATCATTCATAACCCCTTTACATAGTTGTTATTCACTGGGCTCTAGCTCATTGTTTATTATATGTATGTAGGTGATCGAGCACCGGATCAGAGTTAGCGGCGTCAACCTGAAACCTGTTTCTATCAAGCCAACTACTGTGCCTCATTGCGAGGTTCTGAACTTTTGCATGTCAAGGGTTATTGGGTGATTCAGATTCACCCTTTTTACATTGTGTTTAAGAAATAAGAATGTTTTTTGAGTTTTCTTAACTGTTTTTGGCAATGGGATTTAATTCCCTAGCTTGTACAAGTGTGTTATGGACTTAAATATTTGTGTAATCACAAGTATGTGAAATTTGTTTTGTTCATTTAAGTCTTCACAGCTCATTGGACGATATTGATTGCCTTCTGCCAGCCCCTTTTATTAGTTTATTGTCTTATTGATAAGCAGGCATTTGGTAATCACGGATTACTGGCCGGTTACGACGCTAAACCTATAGGGGCGGGTTTGGGTCGTGACACAAAACTAGAGAATGAGTTGAATGGATTCAAACATGCCACACAAAGTAGCAACGCAGTGTTTGACTCAGTGAAACGAGCATTGAGTTCTTGAATTTGCGTATCCAAAATAGTGTAGAATAACTCGGTGCAATAGTGATATAAATTTGTAATTTCTTGAGCTTTACGCCTTCTTCTCCCTTGAGCTACAAACATATCATCCATTTGGGGAACATCAATTTCATGCTTTTTAGAAAAAAATGAAACATCAGCAAGTAAAGAGGTCAACCCACTCTCCCTCATCATTTGGAGTCGCCTTTTAGAAACTTGAACCAAATTCATAGCATTAACAATATCTTAATCTTTCCTTTGTAATGCTTGTGATAACTCACTTGTAATAGCCAATATCGTTCTCATCAAATGAAGATTGAATAGAAATTCAAAAGATTGAATTGAGTCCAACAACACATTTGCTTCTACTCATTGTTCTGAATTTGAACCATCCACTGAAATCATTTCAAGCACATCGATCACTGTTGAAAACATACCAGCCAAGCTGACTAAAGTACCATAGTATGAATCCCAACGTGTATCACCAATACGTTTGAGACTGGTTTCCTGATTTAAAGCCTTGCCCACTTGATAGCTCTCCCATATTAAGTTCCTCAACAACTTTTGCTGCTTGTTTATCCCTAAGAATATCTCGATGTTTACATGATGCTCTAACAACATTCACCACATTAGTAACCAAAGTGAAGAGTAAAGCTATTTGATCATGATTCTTTGCCACGACTATAAGAGCCAATTGCAATTGATGAGCAAAACAATGAACATAATATGCACAAGGATTCTTCCTCAATATAAGTGTTTTAAGACCATTTAACTCACATTGCATATTACTAGCCCCATCATATCCTTGACTCCATAGTCTAGAAATACTCAATCCAAGTCTAGAAAATAAATTTTCCATAGCTTGCTTGAGTGAAAGAGCAATAGTATTGGCAACATGCTCGATACCAATAAAACGCTCGATCAATTGGCCTATTTTGTCTATATGTATTACAACTACCATTTGCTTGATTGATATGTCACGAGCTTCATCAATCAAAAGAGAAAAAAGTGCATCATTAAGCTCTCTACAAATCACATTGATAGTTTCAAACACAGCCACACTAACAATATCTTTTTGAATATCAGGAGCTGTCAACTTAAGATTTTGTGGTGCATTGCTTAATGCAACTGCTTTGACATCTTCATTGTAATCAGCAAGAAACTTCAAGAGTTCAAGAAAATTTCCTTGGCTACTAGACTTTTCATATTCATCATGACCATGAAATGCAAGTCCTTGTCTTAGAAGAAACCTAACACAATTAACCGATGCATTCAAGCGAGTTCAATATTCAATTCGAGCTTGGTCAGATTGTTTGGAAAAAAGCATTTGAATATGTTGCTTTTGGTTTAACAAGTCTTGACATTTACCCCAAGCTTGATTATGAGCACTATTGGGGCCTCCCACATGAGTTTGAATTTTTTATTTTTTCTTCCAATTTGAGAAACCCTCACCAACAAAAGCTTCCCCACCCGCTTGATCTCCAATATCAGGCTTGAAAAGATAACAGCATTGACAAAATGCCACCTCTTTCGCTACACTATACTCTAACCAATTAGGAAATTCACTAAACCAAGATTGATTAAATCGTCGAAGTTTTTGTCCAAATGCTTTTTGTGGGAAATTATGATCACGAGGTTGACAAGGACCCTTTTGTAGATATGCTCTACGGATTTGGTCTTGATCATTAGGGTTATAGTCCATAATCCGAGGTCATAATCCTGGATCTGTCGGATGGTCTGCCAAGTTGATTTCTATACGACTTTGTTTTGCAGAGGAAGAATTATCATCTTCTTTTTGAGGAATAGATAACTCAAACTTTGATTTCCTTTTGAAATATTTCTCCATGTTTGTTTTAAAATAAAAATAAAAACCCCTAATCAAAAACCCTAATCTCCAATTTTAACACAAATCAAAATCCCTAAATTTAACACAAATAACAATAAATCAAAATCCCTAATTTTAGTATAAATTAAATTCGTGATTTTAGTACAAATCACCACAAATCAAATCCCTAATTTTAGTACAAATTACAACAAATCAAAACTCCAAATTTCATATAACTCACCACAAATCCAGATTCCTAATTTTATTGTTAAATTTAAATCCTTAACAAATCACAACAAATCAAAAACCCTAATTTTAATATAAACCACCACAAATCAAGATTCTTAATTTTAGCATATCAATAATCACAAATAAATCTTTTTCTAAATTTAACAAATCAAAACATATCATTTTAACCACAAATAACCATATAAATCAATACATTTATTTTTCATTTAAGAGCAAAAGATTAGAGAGAGAGATTACTTGTAAACAATGGAGAGAAAAGGTTGAGAGTTGTAGTGTGGTCCCCTGTGTGGTATGGTCCCGATTCGCCATGAATCGAAGCAGCAGTAAGTCAAAGAGTCGAAAGGAACACTACAGCAGTAGCAAAAAGCAAAGTGATGTGATATGAATAAAGAAATGGGGGACAAGATGTATGTATATACATCTTAGATTTAGAGATTGAGTGGAGCATGTGTTTGGTAAACACTTTTCTTTTTGCATTTTTTTTTTTTTAAGATAGGGCCATATCTGTTTTGTGTTTAAAATTTTTTGTTTAAAAAAAAAAAAAAAAAAAAGGAATTCTGAAACCCCCTTGGTCCCTTCTTAAGTCCTCCTCTAGTTGCATTAAAGGCATTCCTTCGTTTGAATGTAATCAATATCTCTTTTGGTCGCACCATACTCTTTGACATGTCAACTAACAATGATATTTCCTTTTCAGATAATCTATCAGTAAATGAGTGCCCTTCAAGATGTTCAGTAGTTGGATGATTGTAGTTGCATTGCTACAACGAATAAAAGTATAATCCTTTCAAGAAAAAAAAATATAAAATATAAAATAAATAAATAAACTGAAACTGGAAATGCACGGTAATGAGTAACCAAACGAATTAAAAAAGTTCAGCCTTGGGTTATTTGAAATGTATCTTTTATCTGGCCGTGGGTTACCGAACATATATTTTTTGTTCAGCAATATAATTCCGAACTATTTTACTTTATTCGATTTTGACACACCAAACAAAAGTCAAAGAACTTTCTCAAAAAAACAAAACGAAAACATATTAAACAAATAAAAAAAATCACCATTTCACTTTTTTTATGGTTCTTTACTACCATTTTTTCATCCATTGCTTTCTTCTATGATTAAAACACTATGATTTTCACTTTTTGAAAAGAGATATGTAGCAGAGAAGAAAAACTGAGAAGAGAAGAATAGTAGTAAGAATTGAAGAGTAACGGGTGTAAGGGACTAATAAAATATAATTAACTTAGTCTTTTGTCCTTAAAAGTAATTTTACACATGAATAAAATTTGGGGAAAAAAAATGTCATATAGAGGGTATAAAGAGATAAACTAGTGGTGTAAATAAAATCACTCAAAATAAAATTAAAAAAAATGCTCATTTTTTAAAGGTGAATTACATTCACTCGAGAGGGAATTTTTTTTTCACAAACTTGCATTCCACAACTTTTCACTTGCACCTTACATATTCTTTTAATTTTTTTTATTTGTCCCACTATTTTAAAAATTTTCCTTTTTAATTAGCATTCCTTTTTAAATTAATTTTTTTTTTTAATTTTATCTCGTCACACTTTTCAAAATTCCACTCATACCCTTATTTTTAACCCCCAACTTCTTATCCTACTTCTATTCTTTTTAACAAAAATATTCTACAAGAAAAAAAATAAAAATAAAAAAAATAAAAACGAAGAGTAACTAATTAAAATATAAATGAAAAAAATTGGTGAAAAATTCATCCTTTGGGAGTACAAGACATTAGATCTAAAGTAAAATATTGTTAGGTAATAAGGACACACTGGAAAGGTCGTCATAAAAAGTTTTCGGAAAAACTCATTGGTGCTAGAAAAGTCACCACTAAATTGGCCGAAAAAGTCGCCGGCAACGATAAGTGGTGGTGGTGTGATAGAGAAATACGTGATATTCAACAAATAAGTTGTTGAATGAGTGATATGTGTCACATTTCAATATATAGTTCGGTAGATTTCAATAGATAGACAGATAAATTGATTTCAATAAATAGTTATCCTTTTGGCCCAAAGAGATTAGTCATGGCCTGAGTGTCCAAAATAAATTACATATTAGTGAAAATTTTTGTTAAGAGTGATCATAAATTTTGAGAGAAATAAATATAATTTATCTTTTTAAATATAAATATAATAAATTATATATATATAGGGGAAATTACAAAAATAAATAAAATATTAGAGTTTGATCCTTGTAACAAAATAAACTTTGAGTTTTTAATTTAAACCCTATATACATATATATTTAATCTAAACCATTTGCAAGTTTTCGTTAAGTAAATTAATAAAAAAAATGAATATTTTAGTCATTAACTTAATAAAAAATAATATTTTAGACATTTTATGTACAGTTTCAATTTGTAGCTTGAAAATATTGAGGCTCGAATGGCCCGAGTTCCAAAACGACGTCGTTTTGGAATTTTTTTCCCCTCTTTTCTCTTTGAAGCAAAGATGAAGATGAAGAAGAAGAAGAGAGGAGAGAGAGAGAGAGAGCATCAACCAACTCAAATCATCATCATCAACCGAGAGAGAGAGCATCAACATCAAACAACAACACATCATCGTCATCATCATCACACATCATCATCATATTAATAAACAACACATCATCATCATCATCATCATCACACATCATCTTTTCTTTTTCTATTTTTTTTCTTTTCTTCTTCTATAACTCAGAACAGAAAGAGAGAGAGAGAGAGAGAGAGAGAGAGAGAGAAAGAGAAAGAGAGAGAGATCTATACACACAGAGAGATCATCAACAGATTGGGGAACAGAGAGAGACACACACACAGGTCATCAACAGATTGAGGAACACACACACACACACACACACACACACACACACAGAGGTACACAGATATGTGTATACACAAACAAATCTATCTATGTATACACACAAAGGATGGCGGCACCGGTGATGGCGGTGTCGGTGATGGCGGCAATGGGTGGAGCCTCTCTGTGTGTGTGTGGGTGTTCCCTCTTCCTTTCTCTTCTCTCTCTCTTTCTCTTCTTTTCTCTCGTCCTCCCTCTATTTCAGAGATATAAGATGAAAAAAAAAATGCCCAAAACGACGTTGTTTTGGGCAGTCAAGCCATTTGAGGCAAAGGAATTTCGAGCTATGAAGTATTATTATTATTATTTTTTTTTATGTAAATCTATATTGAGTTTAATAATTAACAATTGAGAGAGGAGCTATAAAGGAAGGATTTGGAGCTTGTTGAACTTGCGGATAATTCGACTAGTCACTAGAGGATTTGTAGACGTCCCCGAACGCTCCCGGGAGGGAAATCCCGTTCTGTTCATTTTGGGGTCACTACAGCTCAGGACTCTCAAATTTGTCACGGTTCTAAGTCTGAACCAAAGAGTCCAAATCCGGCAAATCGTTTTGAGAAAACAGATTTTGAAAGAAGTGCCAAACATGGACTGCTTTGCCAGATACAGAGTCGCCACCGCTAAATGTTTTTTAATGGGAATTTAGGAAACCTGACTGTGCCAAAGGCACGTGTCCGTAATCACAAAATTGCCTGCGCTCGGCGAACTTGGGTACGATTGGGGAAGGTCACTTCGTGAGCCCGCCCGCTCGCCCGATCAAAGATCGGCTCTACTACCTGATATCTATTTTTGAAAACTTTGTATGTCCTTATTCCGGTTATTAGCCTTAGGTTACTATGTGATGCACACGCATATAAGTATAGACTGGGTCGCTGAATTGGAACAAAACATTTCATGCTTGTTTATTTGAAAGATGGTTTCTACTCGAAGTAGGCTTAAAATGCAGATTTTGCCACCCGCAGGTGGGCTTAGAAAATATGGTTTTGCCACTTCTAGTGGCTTAAAACAACAGTTGATGATTTATTCCAATCGCAAGTAACCCAACCTTCACCCCACAGGCATTCAGGCAGTTATATCACATAAGCACATATCCTCATGGCAAACATGCTATTCATGGCAATCACTCACACGCATGCAAGGATGCTAAAGCATAAAAACTCACCGGGTACTCCAAGCCAAAAAAGAGATTACATTAGAAATCATGCATGATCCTAAGTGTACAGAAATGCCTAATGCAACACATGCAAAAATGCAACTATAGCAGGCTCGGCTATTCTAAACATGGCACATGGAAGCGACAACTAACATGTATTCAACTTGGAATTTGAAATACAATGCAGTTAGTATGATCGCGCGAGCCCGGTGCATGCAAACAGATGAATGAATGCAAACATGCTATCATACTGTATGCTAATTGAAATATGCCCTAATCTAACCATCATAAGCGGATAAAATAAAAGGGAGAAAGACGTGGGGTTGGAAGACATACAACACACACACGCACACTTATTACACGTTATGCCCTCGCGCAGAGGGCCGAATAAATAATACAGTCCGAATAAAGAATATTACAGTCCAAATATTACAGTCAAATAATATACAAATTCCTAATTAATTAATCAAATTAACTAAGAAAGCTGAAAACTGGCGTGCAAGCCAGGGACTGCTTGCTTCTGACGAATGGAATGTTATGCCTGGGCTGCCTTGCGCAGAAATCCACTGGATGCCCCAATTAGCCTCTGTTTACAACTTGTTCTTGAAATGCGTGCCAAGCTG